TACTAGGGACATGGTGTTGTCTATGTATCCACACATGTATCTGAGTTTCCTATCAATACAATTCTAGCATGGATAATAAACGATTATCATGAACAAGGAAATATAATAATAATCAATTTATTATTGCCTCTAGGGCATATTTCCAACATGGTGCACCTCTCTACCTTATTTTTAAGCTCACCGAGCAATACGGCAGAGCGAGCATGGTCCGAGGACCATAAACGAAAATCACCTCCCAACTGAAGTGAACTCGTCGGTCAGTGACAGACATGCTCAGGAAGAACTCCCCTCGGTCCATATCGTCGACCGAGAAAGCATCCTCCCTGACCCCGAGCAAGATGCCTCCAGATTGACCCGTAGCGGGCAGCCACTGCCAGGCAAACTGGTGGCGGGAGAGCCCCTAGAGCTCATGCATACTAAAGTCCTGACGAATCGTCTCCTGAAGTCCCACAATGTCAATCTCTTCCTGTCGCAAATATTTGATGAGCTGCCGCCGCTGGCCAGAGAGGCCGAAGCCCCTAATGTTCCAACATAGGAGCTTCATTTAATAACCTCAGTGGAATCCCTAGGCCCCGCAAGCGGGGCCAAGCTAGCCCGCCCGTCAATCGCGGGTCAGGGGGATGCCTTCACTGAGCGTCCACGTCGCCCCGCGTAGGGGGGGCGGCGGAAGCCTCCGGCCAGAGGGAAGCGGACCTGGAACTAGACCCACACACCTCTATCCTGTGTTCAGTGGGGTTGAGACGTGTGGGGGGCACCCTCGCAAAGCCCTCATCGAGGGGGGAACTGCAAGGGGCGTCTCCGCCCCAGTCTCCATAGGGGGCGCCTCACCAGCCCTGGTCTCTCTATGACCAGGGTCAGTGTGCACCGGGGTGCTGGGTTCACCACGCGCAGCACAAGCACGGGCTTCAGCCAACGCCCCATCGAGCCTCTCCTTGGCGCAAATAGCAGAAATCTGCTCAAGAATGGGCCCCTTCTCACCACGAAACACAATGCCACTATCGGTGGCCACCTCTGCCAGATGAGACAACGGAGCGAAACCAAGCACAGAAAACCGAGAACCAGAACTAGAAGGAACAGAGGGGATGGATGGGGTACCTGAGGACAGGTCGCGAGCTGCAGCCCGCATGGCGGCCTTCTCCGGGATCGTCGGGACACGGCCATCCCGGAGGACCCGGGACTGGCTGAGCCTCGCACTCTGACGCGCAGCCACCAGCGGAGAGGACCCACCCCGAAGCTTGGAGCCGGCCGCGGTAGGGGTCACAGCGGCCAGGTCCAAGGGCGGAGGCGGCTCCAGGTCCGGGGCCCCCAAGGCAAGGGAAGGGGGGACCCCGGCGAACGCGAGTAGCAGACCACCCCCGGCGAGCGCGGTGACGACGAGGGGCGCACCTCCATCCCCACACTCACCACGTCCTCCTCCACGACCTCTGGGTCAGCCACCTGGGTCGCAACAGGGGGAGGGACGGCCACAGCCACAAACCCACCCCCTGACGCCACCTGAGAGGTCGTTCCAGCAGGACCGGAAGAACCACCAACAGTAGAAACCGGGCTACGCCGCCCAGCAGACGGAGCCGGCGGAATCACATCATCATCATCATCCCCCTCACAAGAAGAGCTCCCATCGAATGAGCCCCCACCCCCACCCTGCCCTTCATCCAAGCGCGGCACAGTGGCCGTGGGGGCCGGCCCAAGCAGATCCTCAGGAACCGGAGACTCGAGCTCGAAGGTCAGGCGCTTCCCCTTAGTGCCGAAGTAGAAGACCTGGGACAGACCGTCAATCTCTGCCGGAGCGAGGCACAGGATCTCAATGCGGGCTGGGCCATCATCCTAAAAGACGCCAAGTCGGCGGTCACCAGCTTGCCCACCGGCTCAGAGATCGCCTTGAGAATGTGCGCAAGCTTGCCACCCCGCGGTGCCGACCTGCCACCTCGAGGCAAGCCGTACACAAGAACCCACACCCTCTCCACAGGAGGCACATGATCAGGCTCCGCAGCAGCTGCACGAACGGAGATCAGGAGCTTGTTGATGGGACACCAGATGACATCGTGGGAACACACGCGAAGCAGCTCAGCAGAGGGGAAGGGGACCGAGAAGACGAGGGGAGCCGTCTCAGTCACCTCCCAAGTGAAGTCGGAGTCGCGGAAGTCGCCGATGTATGCGGCGAGCTTGGCCTGGATGAGGGCGGCCGAGATCACCACCCCAGATGGGAAGTCCTGCTCAGGGGCAAGAGTGACCGTCGCCAAGTGCGGCCTAACCGCCTCCTCCTCAATCTCAGCATCCACATAGTAGAAACCACCCGCCTCAGTCCCGTACCCAAGGAAAGCAAGGGTCGTGGGGCATCGGGGAGGGGCCTCACACTCCGAGCGGAAATTCCCCGCGCAGCCACAGTTGATGCACATCGTCTCCTCACGAGTCCTAGAGCGGCCAACTCGCGGGGTCTGCTCAGTAGCCACTAGCTCCGAAGCACCAGCCGGAACGGGACACGCGGCCACCCCAGGGGTCTTCTTCTTCTTGTGCTTCTTCTTCTTCTTTGATTGAACAGTGGCACCAGGCGCCTCAACAGAGCGGCGAGCAGGAGAGGCCCTCGCGGTCTCAGAGTCGCACCTCCTCCCTGACTGGCCGCCGTCCCGGCCAGAGCGGCGATCCACCCGGCGCCCAGGATCGGGGGAGCGGGAATCACGAGCCGAGACAGCTCGGCGCTCACGAGATGCACGGGCAGAGTCATCCGCAGGCCGCCCACGACGCCAATCACCATCCGACGCCCGCGGAAAAGGCACCCGCGACGCCGGCCGCCCCGGCTCCAGAACAGCCCGCGCCCGGTCGGCAGCAGGGGGGCGGGTCTGCAGCTCCGCCCGCAGATCCGCCTCGCGAGCAAGGTCCTCATCATGGCGACGCATATCATCACCATTGGCGCGATGGCGAGCAGCATCCTGGCATCACAGGTCGCCCGGGGACCCCGGCAGCGGCAGCCGGGCATCCCAAGATGGGTCGCGGGGAGGGGGGGGAGGGCGGCGCAGAGAAGTTCCGGCGTAGGTCGCCGAGGCCCGAGCCGGCCGGACGTCGGAGCGCGAGGAGGACGCCTGGTCCAGAGGCCTCTTCGGCCGCGGCAATCCGTCGCCGGCGTCCCTGGTCATGAGGGCCTCCAGGTAGGACCGGGGGCGGGGTGGGGGATGGGGAGCAACGACCGCGGCGAGGACGGAAACGGGCCGACGGCGGAGACCAGGGCGGCCGGAACGGCTGGAGCGCAGGGGGAAGGCGGCGGCTGCGAGGGAACAGGGAGGAGGAGACGAGCGCACCGTCCAGCCCTAGCGACATCTAAACGGGTCGCAGGCCATCCGTGCGACACGTCTCCAGCGCCACACTGGATCCACACCCAACGGGCCGGGTCCGCGTGGGACAGCAACCAGGCCCGGTTGGCCCGGTCAATAACGGCCTGGGACTGGACAGCCGCGCAGCGGGCCGCCGGGTCAGCCCAGATGGCCCTCCGAGAGGAACCAGGCCCAGAACGGCGCAGGCCCTCCCACGCTCCCCCAGGCCGGCCCACCATTCGAGCGCTAGCTGGCCCACGTAGGAGCACGGCTCGATCCGGACCCGACCAGGGGGCAAACCCCTCCCGCAGCGCCGCCGGCGCCATCGCCGGAGCGGCCTTCCCGGACCCCGCACCAGACCCGGCAGAGCTACCAGGCTCCGCCAGGACCAGGCGACGGTCGGAGACGGCGGCCACCGCGACCACAGGAACCGGCAGATCCGCACGGGACGCTGGCCCAGATAGGGGCGGGCGAGCCACGGGACGCGCCGCCGGCGGCCGCAAGGGGCGGGGACGGCCGGAGAGGCGGCGAGGACGGACGCGCGCGGGCTGGGCCGCCACCCAGAAGTCTTCGAAGAGCGGCGGAGCCAGCTTCACCGGACGCTCGACCGGTCCGACGTCCATGGCCTCCTCGTCCGCGAGATCCGCCCAGGAGAACGCCGACGACGCGAAGGACAGGGACGGCCCCTGGGGAGCAACCACCTCCGGGCGTAGCGCAGCCGAGACCGCCGACCCGCCGGCCGCCGGGGCGGCGCTGGCGAGGTCAGCCATGGGCGGCCCGACGGCGAAGTTTGAATCGCCAAGCGGATGTGAGCGCTCCACCCCAACGGTCACCCCACTCTGCTGTCCCCAACGCAACGGCCAATATTCAGCTGGGAGTGCTTATCTGATTCAATTCCAGGGGCTCCATACTCTCTCTCCTCTTCATTCGTTTCATCTACTCTGTATATGTTTTCTCTCTCCTAACTGATGTTCGTCGCACCATGCTATATCTGGCATGAACACAATTATTTAATTGGTTATTTTGATCGCTTCACGGAAAAGCAGCAACACTGACCGAGTTGTGTGACAGGTGAGGGAGAATCTCTATAGGTTGAACAGTGACCAACACACTCCATTGCCATTTTCAAGTAATTTACTTCTCCAGCTCTTACTGTTCACATAGCCTGCAAATCAATTCCCCGTTGCAGGACAGGGCAGGGATCGCCAAGTCAGACACTGTGGATGGACGGTGAGGATAGTCGGGTGTCCCGACCCCTGGGACCTAAAAGTCCTGTCTCATACTTGAAACTGAAACTAATCTACTCAGCAGTACAACTTGTTTTCTGACCATTAAAAAGAGACAAGAAGGAAGTAAACAAAATTTGCCCCTTCCATTTTCTTCTTTTAGGTAGAGAAAAGGATTCTGCAAAAGTTGTTGTTGGTGTCATCTGCACCCAACACATGTGTGGGTGAGCGTTTTGCAAGGTCTAGTAGTAGAAGTGCATGCACCAATTTAAATTTGGCATGCATGTATGGAGCTGTAATGGCTCATGGCCTCACAATCACATCACCAGACTCTCTGGGCCATCGATCGCCTATATGATATCAGAGAAGATAATGCAGCTCTAGATATATAGCATCTCGATCAACACCGTATCAGTGCTCATCATCTAGTCTAGTCTAGAAAGGTAGAAATCGACAACAAGATAGATCGATGGCCGGTGAGTGCAAGGAGGCTAGTGTCGCCGGGTCGTTCCTCGCCGTCACCCTCGTGGTGGTGGCCACATCATCCATGCCGGTGGTGAGGGGGGATGACAAGTCTGCTTGCGTCGGCGAGTACTCCAAGCTCTGCGGCAAGGACCCCGCGTGCACCACCATGGTCGAGACGACCTGCCGCGATGATGCCGACAGCGTCAAGGCCATCAAGGGCATGTTCGACGAGCTCGCCAAGGTCGGTGGAGACAACTTTGATTTCGCTTCTACGGCATGGCCGTGGGGGCACGCGGCCCTCCGCGCGGCCGTCGACGAGCATGGGGCCTGCCCCGGCAACAAGACGGTCGGAGAGTTCGCCGGCGAGCACTGCATCGCGGACCTAGGCGCGGCATGCAAGGATCCGAGCTGCACCGACGGTGCTCACATCGAATGCGACCGTACGGCCTCGAGGTTCTGCTACATCAAGGCCACCCCCGCCGACAAGAATGCCATACAGCAAAACTTGGATTGCTTCAAGGGCTGTTGCGAACAGAAGAGCACAGGTGAAGAGTGCCGTAAAGTATGCATCGTCAAGATTCTGCCCGCTTGATAATGCATGCATGCATGCATTCCTTCCTTGTACTCTCTCATGTCCTCATATAAGCTTTGTCCGAAATAAAAAATATTTCTCCTTTGACCAAACTTATAGAAAAAAGCATCAACATTTACCATGTCAAATCAATAGTGTTAGATTCATTATGAAATAAAGTTTCACAGTATATATATTTGGTATTGTAGAGGTTGACAAATGTAGTATGCGGAGTAAAAAGGACCGAAAGGAGTACTTCATTTCAAAGTCCTTCATTCATGGTCTCACATGCATGTATTCATCTCATTTTGTTGTTGCTTTTTTTTTTGTACATCCATTTTCTTTTCTTTTTTGCGAAAAGAACATTCATTTTGTTGCTGCTGTTCTTGGAAAACCAATAAAGAAAGAGTAGTAAATAATTTTTGGATGATCTCTAACCTCACGTATTTTGCTTGCTAGATGTGTTTGCATGTTGGCAGAATTTCTTAGTGCGCGTGTGGCACAAAATCAGGGCACGCCTGATTTTCTCTTGTTGCATGGCTATTTAGGGAGGTTACAAGCATGTCTCTTTTTTTGGCTCAGAAGAAGATAATACGAAGGAGAAAAGCAAAACGTATGTTCTCTTTTGTGTACTTGTGTTGTGACCGGTGAAATGATTTATTTATTTTTGTGGGTGGAAATGAATTGAGAGAGCTGAGAGACTCAGCTCCAATATTGCCAAGGTTCAGAGACGCCATGATGGGCAATAGACTTTTCCCCAAAAAAATTACTACCGGGAAATGATTATATGACGAGTGAGTGCATACCTTCGAGCACTCGGTCAAGGCCACTAACCGAGGCAATATAACAAATATAGACCATGTTTGCAGAAAAACTACCAAAAATTACAATGCTAATTTGATATAATTTTGAAAGTACATTCTATGACGTATTTAATGATAACTAATTTGGTATTGTGTTTGTTGATAGTTTTCATATGAACTTGAACAAAATTTGTACCCTTTGACTCTAGACAAACATTGTGTGCGATAGAGAGTATACCACTAGAGGGGTGGTCAATGGGATATTTAATTTATTTATTTTCAAAACTTCAAACCTCTGGAGACAAAACAACAAAAGTAATACTACAATAGGAACACTGAAACAAAGTAAGCACAAGCACATGAAGACAAACAGGCTAAACCAATACGACTAAGCAAAACTTTCGATGGAAGCGATGATAATCTACCTAGTGTAGTGGTAGAGAACTTTCACGACAACAATGGTCACACAGAAAGGAAGCAACACAAACACCATGGAGGACAATATGACGAAACAGATCACGATACTAAATACACCCTACTGAGAAATGGTTATCAGAGCATAACTCAGCTGAATAACAAAGTAGCACAAGAGAATCAAGAGACGAGCATACAGACAAACTATCTTAAGTTCGGCAAATTGAAATACACTGAACAACATAGTCATGCTACACATAATAAACAAAGGAAGATATATGATCACAATTATCTATCGAGACAAAGAGCACAGAAGATAAACTACTGGAAGAACTGCAGTAGAGTAGAAATAACCATTGGTGCTCGAAGATGATAGATGATTTGGTAAACTAGTTCACTTTTCTGCCAAAGAGCTACGACTAGTTGAAGGGACTTGGGATTGAATCCAGAAGATAAACTCTCTTTGTTCTATTCTTCTTCAACGTGATGTTGATTAGACTTCAGCTGAATTCACCTGGGATAGATCATTACTGGCGATCTCCAAACCTTAAACAAACTTGCTTCGCGGACCACAATTACTTTTGGTTGCTGAAAACTTTGACTTGGTGAAAAAAATTACTCTTCAACACTCAAGTCTACATCTATTCATCTAGAGAGCGTGCAACTCTTAAAAGTAACTAGATCATTGATGGCGCGCGTTGCCGCGCCCGTCCATTTTGTCAATAGAGTGGTAGGGATTTCAATAATATATATGACACAACAAAACATGATACTCCCTCCAATCCAAATTAATTGACACTGATTTAAACCAGCATCTATAAACACTATCCAAATCATGAACCCCTCAAACTAAAAGAAGGTACCCAACTGATTATTGTACAAGTTCATTCATTATTTATGATATTGAGTAAGCATGATTTTGATCTCCTCACAAGTTAATTAGTGGATACTTCTAAACATAGCTTTACTATGTTAGAAAAGGTAATATATATTTCATCAAACAATCATTGATAATATAAGACAAAATTTTAATTCATCAAACAATCATTGGTAATAATATAAACTGCAATATAAGACAAACATTTACTTAGGAAATGTATACCAAATTCTTTGTCATCCTGTTTTTAAGGTCTTGCAAGGTGAGCACAAGAAACACACAAAATATTTCAATTAAGTGTGGTGTTAGTATTGTTTACTAAATTATAAAGTTTCCCAAAACCATCCAGGTATTGAATTACACAACGATGTTTACTGATCCCAAAGAACGAAAAAAGAAAGGCCTTCCAGTCAAAATGATGCTTGCATTCAGGTTCGTGCACTTTGAATCAATGTCAAGCTCCATAGGATGTTAAACAACATGTAAAGATGACAAGATCAAAAGCTATAATTTAAATGGAAGATAACAGTAAAGCATGCGCTACAATTCATTTCCAAATTTATAACCTTCTACAAAAATGTGCCAGTGGTTGTACATTTCTTCTAGGTCCATCTAATCACTCTAAGCAGAAATTCATACTACAAATTATCATATGGGAGATGCAAGGTATAAGTGCCACTGTATGGTGCAGACTTTTATATTATGTGTCATTTTCATAGTAGAATTTTTTTCTGTAATCTACTACCATATTTAAAGGTATACTATCCATGCGAATACCATGATTCTTTTCTGAATGTACAGTCAATTTTCTTGCCAGGAGATGTAAGCGAAATTTCTTCAAATCCAAGAATTCCATTCTATTTTGTGTAAAGAAGATCAAAGACCAGTAAGAACAGGGAAAATGTTGAGGGAAATGCACTATGGTATTAACAGAGATCATATTGTGTACCAAGTATCAACATCATTCCCACATCAATGATTCGCCTATGCACACATATTCATATATCTAATAAAAGGATAATACTGGTCCAACTAATCATTCCTAGGCTCAGGTGGAGGTTGTATATAAGAGGTAACTGGATGCCAATGGTTTGGATCTGAGTCGACGTAGGTGGGGATCAGTTTTTGTGAAGATTGTTTTTCATAAGAAACTAGTAGCATGTGGATCCTATGACCTTAGTATATACGATCAAGACTTTTAACAAGACAGATAATGTCCCTTCCAGTCCCGGCTATCAAAGCCGGCATGATTCTATGGGCAATTAAATGTCCCAAGAAAGTGGCGGGTACATTTGCTCAAGTAGATCTGGAGTATTACATATTATGATATATGTACGTTCGTGCCCAAAAAGCGTGCATGATTCTACAATTAGGAAGATGTCTTTGCCATATCTACCATTCTTAAGAAGTTGCTCCCCACTTCTGCTTATTCTCTCATCATGCACACTATCCACATCAGCGATATGCCACATCATTATTCAGTTTACATAATCATCCAATCACTTCCCGTCACCCGCAGCCACGTAATCATTCAGTTTCCAACTTATTCCCCTCCAGTCACGGCGGTGGGAAAAAACCTGCATTTTCCCTCACCCGCAGGCACTCCTTTTCCCTCACCCGCATCCGGCCATCCCGCATCCCGCACGGCACGGCACGGCCGCCGGCACTCCTGCCCATCCCCAGCCCAGCGCCGGAGCCGGTGGTCACCGCTCCATGGCCGTCACGTGCCTCCGCGGGCTCCTCCTCCGCCGCATCCCGCACGGCCGCCGGCTCTCCCACAGGATCGGATCCCACCCATCTCCACCTGCCATGGCCGCCTCACGCCTCCACCGCCTGCTTCTCCGCTGGGCCGAATCCTGCCGCCGGCCAGCGCCAGTGCTCACCGCGCCATGGCCGCCCCCCTCGCTTCCTCGCGCCGCCCGTCCACCACCGTGCGCTGCCCGCTATTGGCCGTTTGTTTCGGCCAACCGGCGGCCGCCGGTACAACGTCTTCTGGGCGCTGGGACGCGGACCGGGCACGGTTCTGTTGCTGCTGCCCCAGGTCATCGAGGAACAATACTGTCAAGCTGGGCGAACCCCCTTCCTCTGCTCCGAGCCAACAGGTGCAGTTGGGATGCAGTCCATCCGCCCTTTGTCCACCGGTGCCGTTGCTCTGCTCCGCCCTCTAGCCACCGGCGCCGTTGCTCTGCTCCACTGCCGTCATTGTTTGCCAGGAACCCGGTTTTATCCACGTCTTCCCCAGGTCAACAGAGCCACATTTAGTTCACTGCTTCTGACTAAGCTTCTCGACGTGGAGGTGATGTAATCCCGTTGTTCTTCAGTGGTTTTTAGCTTGCTGACACCAAATGGCCCACACTTTTATCTTATCAATTAAACTGTTCAACTAAAAAGCAAATAAATCCTTCGGCTGCAGGTCATTGATGATTGACTGTTCACTTCCTCTCCCCACGATCTCCACAAGTAACTGACTTATTGATCTCCACAAGTAACTAACTTATTCCCATTTAAATTGGGTGCACCACAACCCATTTCATTCCCATCGTCCTCCATAGCAGTCATACAGCTACTCCTGGTGAGCAATCTCTCCCCCGTCCTCATGCACATTCCCTGTGACATTTTTGCTGATTCATCACAGCTTTGGACTTCCTCAGGTACTGGAAAAAATTGGACACCCGACCTCCAATCTTGGTTGTTCTTCCCCTGCTTCATACCCAGACGCCTTGGATTGATGGCTCCTTTAGGTAAATATTGTTGCCATCTATTGCTTACTCTAAAGTTTTGTGAACTTCATTCATATCTGAATTTAACTGCTATTTCTGAATTTTTGTATGCTTCGCTACATTGAATACTTAGCTCTGCTTTTCTTTATCTGTTCTGAATTTTTGTTTGTCTATCCAATTTAAATTCAATATGGTACAAGAATCCAT